TTCACACACCAAAGAACTCGAGCGATTTGGTGAAAGAACTAGAAAATGCGATAAAAGAGCTAATTTTCTCTACTAACTACTAATACTTTATTGATCGAATGAATAAAACGAAGAGCAAAAGGTACATATTTATCGGACTAATCCTACAAACCCCCTTACTCTTAAGACAAGGAAATCCAATCCCAGAACAACAAGTAAATGATAACTTTCTAGACAAGACACAATAATAATAATCCTAGACACAAACTAATACGAATAACCAAATAATAACCGAATATCTCAACAAATAATAATACGTGAAATAATAATAATAATAATAATAATAATAATAATAATAATAATAATGGTCTAGGCTCAGGATGTTCCACTTGGGCCTAATGCCTCACGTTCTGCTTCAAGGTATACGGTAGCATATGTATGGGTGATAGTCAAACTATCTCAATATTCCTTAGCACTGTTGGTACATATCTTTGGTTTCCCGGTTAATAAAGGTATCTAAGGGTGGCCTTTTCATTTGAGATAGGGTTGCAAATGACACAAGTGGTACATTAATGTTTGATTCGAGAAATACTCGTTTGGTATTTATTTCATTAGACCTAAACATTAATCAGTTTGTGGGTCTTATCGACTCGGTGATCTGTTGAGGTAAACTTGTGAGCTGACTTGTTTTGTGCTCATGAGCTAGCTCAATAATGTGAATGACGAGCAGGTCAACTGGTGGCTTATGAGCGAATTTATATATAATTTAAAATTGAATTGTTGATAATTCATAGGTTTGTTAGATTATATATCATATAATATGTTATGGTTTAAGACTTTAAGCATATGAACAAATATGTCTCATTATAATTGGAATCGCAAATATATATTATAAATTGCTAAAATAATAATTACTATTAAGTATTAAATAACATTATATGAATTGTAATGGCAATAGGGCAATTTGGGGCAGGTACCACTAAACTCACGTCTTGCCCCGCCCTGCATGTAGATGATATGTACTGCCTTGCAGTAGTTCAACTAGTTTTGCCCCAAGATTCGCTCCGCACGAGCAGGTAAACCATAGGGATGGCAATTTACCCACCATGGGTAATTTTGCCCAAACCCAAGTAGACCCATTTATTATGGGTAGGGTTTGGGTGATGTGTGTATGGGTTTGGGGTTTATATATGGGTTTGGGTTAGATATGGATATTATCTAAATGGGTATGGGTTGGATATGGATATCCATTTACTTGAGGGTGTTTTAACTACACATGCAAAAATTGGACTTATTTGTAAAACTTGAAAAGTTTAGGTACCAAAATGTAAGACCAAAAAAATTTAGGTACCAAAACGTAATTTTCCATCGATATTTTGAGGACTTATATGCAAAAAAAATTAAATTTAGGTACTAAATATGCATATCTATTAAGTTTAGGTACCAAACTGTAATTTGTATTTGGGCATGGGTACAAACCCAAATCCATTTGTTATAAACCCAACCCAACCCAAAGTAAATGGGCATGAGTACAAACCCATCAAACTTTACCCATATCTATATATTTGGATTTTATACCCAACCCAATTGGGTTGGATAGTAAAATACCCATAGGTATGGGCAAAATTGCCATCCCTAGTAAACCATGCCCTACCCTGTTTGCCGATATTGAGCAACTAGTGTCGTCCTCGGAATGGCCGAGCAGCCACCTTCTCGTCGCTCCCAACGATGGTTCTTGTTCTCCCATTCCCCAAACATATTAATAAGTGGGTTAACTGAAGATACGATGATGTCGGCCAAGGAAATGAAGATAATATGCAATCACAAGCTGAGAAAAATTGTGAGTTGCCAGCAAAAACTTATATTTCATGTACAGGGCAGGGCTGGATGGGGCGGGGTGTCAGATATACTGACTCGCACGAAACTAAACAACAATAAAATCTCAAATAGAGCCCAAAGGGAAAGTGTTTAGATATCGACTCAGGCCGGTCCGTCTACCCCTACTTCAGTTGTTGAAATCATTATCTAGCAACAAAACTTTGGTTTAAAGGTTTGCTAATTGAAATGAAAGAAAGTAAAGGTAAATGGTTTTGATAACTCTTTGGTGGAAAGATCACTCGGGTGTCGCTCCTCCCGAACTGCTACCATGCTAAGTGAATTGGAACGATTGCTTTGGGCACGGTAATCGTGAACCGCAGAGGGATGCATATATGGCCGGAGACCACAATCTCAATTGTCACTCGACCCTCTCGGTTTAGACAATCGGTAATTGACTTACTCCCTCACTCAACTCTAAGGTCGGACGGCTTAATTACGATTAACCGATTTGCTTAACTCAATATTGAGGGTTGCCCTAACTTAACCTAGTTTAGGTGGCTTAGAAAGCGGAAGGAAAACCAACTCGATTGAGTCTCCCTTGGAAGGGGGATTTTCCTCTCTAAGCTAGGCTAAGGTGGCTAATTAGATTGCTAGCACCAACATGCACAAACCTAAGGATGCTAAGCACAAAATATGCACAACCCCTAGGTGGCTAAGTCCAAGCATGCACAATCATGATGAATAATGCCTCATTCATTGAATTAAACAATACCCAATGATAATCATCCAAAACACATAAAAGAAAACTACATGGTAGAGTTAGGGTTTCACAACACCCAAGTGAAAGGAGGTCTACTCCATGCTAGAAGTGGGAAAAACAAAAGGGAAAGAGATGGAAACCATCTTGGAGGATGCTCCCAGTCTTCTTGGCCCTTGAGTTAAGCTTTCCTTGGAGGTAATCTTCCCAAAATGTGCCTTGAAGCTAAACCCTAGCCTTCTTCTCCCTTTAGTTTTGTGTTTCTCTCTCTAGAATGTAGAAGAAGGCTTTTCACACCAAATGGGCTCTCCCCTCTCTCCTCCTTTCCGCTCATCTTTTAAACCAGAGATGAGCTGAGTTTAGGGCCCGAGCTCACGGCCGTGAACCATGAAACGCGTCCGTGAACTGCAGGCGCCCGACAAAACGTGCCGCATCGTTCACTCGAGTTCACGGTCAACTGCCTTTGTTCACGGTCTTAGTGACCGTGAACTCACCTTGCGTCAGTAACCTTCACTTTGCCTCTGGACGCCTAACGATTCACGGTCAACTCTTCTTTTTTACGGTCATGCAAGACCGTGAACTCCCTTTGTTAGCCGTGAGCTGGCTCTTTTTCGCCTCTTCTCCCGGTTTTCGATCCTTTTCGCCAATCTTTCGACTCCGAGGCTGGTTTCACCTGTTGAATCCTGAAACACACTCGAACACGAAGAACCTAGCGTAAAACCAACCTTTAAGGAGTGAATTTGGCACAAACACCTAAGTAAAATGGGGGCAAAACATGTGCAATTAGACCCGAATCATATACCCATGCCCCTCCCCGTTCTATGTGCGGGTTGGGTCAAATTCCCCTCCCCCATTCTAGCATAAATCGGGTTTTACCCACTCCATCACGAGGCAGACCAGGAAATAATTGTCGAGGCGAGTCTGAAGCCATCACTAGATATGAACTAGTTGAAAATTATGAACTAATTTATACGACACCAACAGAGTTCATAAATATGAGATCAATTCGTGATGAAAATTGACTATTTGTTTCATCGCGATATTAATTATATATATCACATATGACATATAAATATTAGAGTATTATATTTATAAATTATTTTAGAATTTGGTTTAAGAGTTGAATCATTAAGACTAAAAAATGAGCTGCATTGAAGCAGAGTTCAAATAGAGTTTATGAGCTCATTAATGACTTGAGTTTAAACCAACATCTCAGTATATGAGTTTCGTTCCAGCTAGGTAAAATGAGCTTTATTGCATTTTTTTTACTTTTTTTTAATCGAAATTGAAATGAATGCTATATGGTTGTTATAAAATGGCCATTAACATTTTAAATTATGCTACCTGATGCAGTCTCCTCAACATACTGAACGCACTATGGTGTAGATTTTGTGCACATTAATCCCAAGAAAAGGCGTTATCGTACACATTATTCCAATGTGGAAAAAAGAAACCACACGTCCAACTCCCTGGTGGATTTGGATATGTGCAAATGGAAGCCTCGTTATCAATCGGTGGAAATGACTTTGCTCCCAAGTTACGAATAAGGTCCCCAGTCGCGGACAAAGACAAACCTTGTATCTCACGTATTAACCGGACGGCCCAAGAAAAATGCTTGAAATGAGCCCTTCTTCTTTACACAAATTCTTCGTGCTCTACCAATAAAGAGTTAGCAAACAGTTTGCCACAATATTCTTGTTATGACTTGAAAATAGATCATTTGTAATCAGTGGGAAGTCGCGGGGTTTCGCATGATCTTGTACACTTTTGTATTACTGTTTTTGGACTTGAGCGGTAAGCTTTTCTTTTCTAAGTTGGATTAGGTAAGATCATATGAAGAATTTGTTATATATATATTTTCTCAATCTCTGTCATTTGTATCCCTTCAAGTATAGTGAAACTACTCTTTCTTGTCCATGGATTAGCTAACATATATTGTATTAGTGAACAATGTAAATCTATATGTTTTTTGCTTTCTTCTATTGTCGATTTCACAATCCGTTTTAACAAGTGCTACGGCTGATTTAAGGAGAGAGAAAGGGCAGTGATGTGATGACTAAGTGTCTAAGTCACCCCAAAATTACTCATGCTAGCAGTACTACTAGTGTTGTATTCAGAGCTTGGAAGTAAAAAGAGACGCTCTAGTATATCGACACGCAGACGTTCAATCAAAACAGGCAATGATGCTGCATCATGAGTCACTTGAGAAGTTTCCAAATGAAAATATATTGGTCTGTTTCAGGAAGAAGAAGCAAAACGTTGAAACAAAGGTAGTTAGCAGATCCGAAAAGAGAACAACAAGAAAAAGGGGTTCTGTAATGCATTTTTCTGTTGACAAATGATAACTTAATCAGAGGAGTAACACATACATAATCAGCACTAGTTCATCATATCCCTTCCACTATATAAACTGACACCATCAAGTGAAAGTTTGCTGCTCCAAGTTCCTCAATGATTTTGCACCAGCACTAAACCAACCCAAGTCTTCTTTTCTTCTTCACATTTCTCCCACCATGAAGGTTCTTTCACCAAGCTGCTATGATACTCCCAACAGGTTACTTCTGATGTCTCTCATTATAATTTCCCTAACCCTAGTCCCTCTTAGTCTAGTATTCAAGAGCTCTGGTTCACAATTACTATCTTCTATCAAGAGCATTGCAAGACAGAGAGAATGTAATATTTTCACAGGAGACTGGGTTCCTTATCCTAGAGGACCTAACTACACCAGTGAACAATGCCCCTTCATAGTTCCGCACAACAACTGCATAAGATCTGGAAGGTCAGATAGACAGTTCATGAAGTGGAGATGGAGGCCAAAGGACTGCGAGCTGCCTTTATTCGACGCAGTGCAGTTCCTAGAGCTCGTTCGAGGGAAGTCTATGGCATTCATTGGAGACTCCGTCGGATGGAATCAAGCACAGTCACTGCTCTGTCTCTTAATGAGTGTAAGTGCCCGCAACATTGTACAGATATATACTACTAACGAATAATGAGTGATGGCCCTCTTAAGAAATGCAGGAAACCCTAAGCTAGAATGCATAAGCTGGGACTCAAAAGGTGCAAGCAGCCTATTATTCATCATCTCCATTTTTTCTTGCATCTTTTCAGGTTTCATATCCTGAGAACAGGTCTCAAAGCAACACAACAAGCAGGGCATACTCCACAAGATGGTTCTACCCAGACCATGCATTCACACTGGCATCATTTTGGTCTCCCTTCTTGGTCAAAGCACGAGACTCGGACCCAAACGGGCCTTCCCTCGACAGCACCATGAACCTATACTTAGACCAGCCTAGTGAGGAATGGGCCACCCAGATCGAGGATTTCGATTTTGTGATCATCTCTGCTGGCCACTGGTTCTTTAGACCGCTTATGTACTACATTGATGAACAGTTGGTGAGTTGCCACAAGTGCAGAAACAAGACCGTTACTTCTGTCACACATTACTATGGATACAGTATGGCCTTCCGAACTGCCTTGAGCTACCTCCAAAGCCTGGAGAACTACAAGGGCATCACATTCCTGAGGACATTTTCTCCATCCCACTTTGAGAATGGAGAATGGAACTCTGGTGGAGATTGTTTGAGGACAAGACCATCGAGGAACGGAGAAGCGAAGCTAGAAGGGTACACTTTAGAGTTTTACAAGGCACAAATTAGGGAGCTGGAGAAGGCAAAGAGAGAAGGGAAGAGTAAAGGGTTGAAATTTGAGCTGCTGGCTGCTACTGAAGCAATGCTGCTGAGGCCAGATGGGCACCCAAGTCGATTTGGGTACACATCACAAGAAAAGAATATGACGGTGAATGATTGTGTTCATTGGTGCTTGCCAGGGCCTATTGACACATGGAACGAGTTCTTGCTCTACATCATGAAGAAGGAAACTGTTAAACCTTTCTAAGGAATGTTAACGAGGGAATTTAGCTAGTATGGTGAGAGGCCATGCTAGGTTTCTGTTAGCAATTTTTACAATATAATGGTGTGTAACAGCTTGATCCATAAAAGACAACACTGGCACTTGGACCGAAAAATACCGAACTGAATATAATGTAATCTGAGAACAAGAATATACATAGTATAATCACTTCATCAGATGCATGACAACAGCAGGGATACCAATGTTCAAGACAACAGATGAATCACAACTTCTATACAGATGGTATGGGAAATAATTATGTACAATGAATACAAAGAAAAAGAAATCATTAGCCTATTGTCTGTTTCAAAATGAAAGCTTGATGAACACTACTATGTGTAAGAACAAAATGTAGAGCACAAAAGCCGACCTCAGTAACATAAGTCGTTCTGGTACTCAGTCCGACAGCCAGTGGAACGAGGAAGCTTGTCAGACATATAATCTATGGAACCTACAGAAGTCTTCAATGAGTTACTCCTTCCGTAACGGTTCCTAGCTGGGTAATTGGATTCACCATTGCTGCTGCTTTCAATCTGCTTCCACAACCCACTCAACTTTTCCAACTTCATCTCTTTGAGATGAATTTCACCGACCAGGGCTTCTGCTTGTGGCTACAGTAAAGAATCAAAACCAAATTCAACATGCTTACTCACTACTCCACGAGAGCATTATTATTCAGCGAAATCCTCTTATGCCAATTATTGTTGCCGGATGTATGTACCTGCTTTGCTGCTAGTTGCTCGATTAAGCTGTGAAGCTGTTTATCCAATATCTTCTCTCTTTGAGCTGCATTATACATACATCATTCAAGTCAAATTCAATAGAAAGAGTTGCCACATCAGAAAATGGTGCCACTATTCTTATAAGGGATTCACATTGTAAAGCACACTAGATGACATATACATTCTAACATCGGGCATGGGTAAACTCCACGTGAGAATATAGAGGATCCTTGAAAGTTAGTGGATTCATAATTGTGATAAGTTACATGAGGTGTTAGAAGAAATTGAAGGAAGCTGTAAATGAGAGGAAAAAAGGCTAAACAAGTTGAAAGGAAGTTGTTTAGGGAAGGACAACTTAAGCCCCAAAAGTTGAACAGAGAATTTAATTCATGGATGCATAAAATGTCAGAGTAAGAAGGGTATTAAGAACTGGGTGACTATCTACTGTCAAACAAAAACTGGGAGAAGATCACCAGTGTCTTTGATCTTCACAATTGGAAAGAAAGGGTATGAGAAGATTCATGAAATATAACTTTGGCAGGATTGTGAAAATGCAAACCTGGGGTAAGCTGTTTTAATGCTTTATCCAGGATATGTGCCCACTTCCTGTCTAGCTCTTGAACAATTTCCTCCATTGAACTCTGCAGATTGAAAAAAGTTGCAGCTCAGATAGCAACATGGGGAACGCAATTTTGCAGAGAGTGAATATTATGTGCATAATAACCAGTTCCTTTTTCTTGGTCTCCAACTTCTCAAGTACAGATACTTTCGCAGCTTCTGCCTCTGAACCTTCCGTAACCTCCTGTCCAAGTACGACAAAAGCACTAGACTTCACTTACTCACTAACTTTTGCAGCTTTTGCATTTTCCATCTGCTCTCTCAAATTATTCTCAGCTTCTTCTATTTCCTGACAATGATGAGGATCCATAAAAAGAAGTGTAAGGGTTTCAACTTCCCAGAAGGCAGAAAACAAAACATCAACAGATTGTATCCCCCCTCAAGGAGATAAGCTTGATAATGAAAATCTGGTTCTCTCAAGTAGAGATAAGCCATGAACTGAATATAGATGGGCCACTGTTACTACTTTAAGAATGTAAAAGACTATACAGGAACAGAAGGAATGGAAATTTTAGTCCAGACCTTCAGGTTCAGGTTCCTTAGAAGTAAATCTGCTTCCTGAACTTTCTCTTGTATCCTGCTTTCACAACTTGAAATAGCTCTTTCGTATGCAGCATTTTCTTCTTGCAATATAACTTCTCTCAACTGGGTCTGCAGGTAACAAAGAAGCCTCCGAATCACTAACCACTGTAATTTCCGAAATTCTGAAGCCCTGGAGCTATCCTTCATACTCAGGTGATCATTCATGCATCTCACACATACGAAAATTACAGCTGCCGCAATGACCAGCGAGTTTCAATTCTTGCAGCGAATAACTTGACAAAATCGATTTCAATCCCTATGATTCAGTTCCAAAATGAACCCTTGATCCAGGTCGATGTCAAAATACACGAAACTGTGCGTAATTTTACCTGTTCTTTGGTGGCAGAGCAGCATTGGAGGCGAGGGAGTGGGCAAGAAGGTGAGGCAGGCGTTGGGAGATGTCGGCAGGAGGCAACCTCTGCCGCAGATCTTGGATCGCACGGGTGAGAGAAGCCGCATTCCGGTCTAATTCTCGAACATACTCCTGCTGCTCTTCCGTGAAGAGAATCGGGATGTCGTCGGCTTCGTCGCCGTGAACGCTTCCGTGACCGCCTACAACGTCTGCCGCCCATGCTAGTAGCCCCGCCATAGCCACCCCTTCTGGACGTCGACTCTGCTCTGTGATGAACTACTACCGTGGCATCTGCTGATGCAGCTGGTGGAGCCGAAATGGCGGCCGAACCGGGTCGAGCTCAGGAGAAGAAGAAACAGGGCTGGTGTTGGGCCCATAGTTGAGCGATATTGGGCTTGAAGCTCATAGAGAGGCTAGCATAGCAGGGCCCGAAAGGAGAGCAGAAAGCGAGGCCCAGCAAGGGCCCGAGGAAGGAGCAGGCGTGGGGAAAGGAGAAAGACAGGCGGCCGCCCTATGATGGGACGGAGAGTAGGCCGCCTGACACAAAGAGCCGTTGGTGACAGGTTAAGAAGATCCTCCTAGGATACGTGCCTCGAACACTGCAGGACTGAGCATTAATTGCCTGCCGTAGGCGGTCTAGATAAAGTAAGAACTAACCTAGGGCGCCTGACATAGCATTTAATGCTCAGAACCCAGGCCAATCTACTATAAATACATTCATATCGGCATTGATGGTAACTCAACTACTCTCTCTCTCTAAACATCACTAAAAACTCTTATTCTATCTCTAACTTAAGCATCGGAGGGTGTCCTGGGTGACCGCCCACGGACCCTTGTTTTGCAGGAGCCTGGAGTCCCCCACCATCTGGAACAGACGCGCAGCTCGTTCTCCACAAACCGCCTAGAACATTCTAGGCTCAAACAATTTGGCGCACACCGTGGGGAAAGCATAGCATTGAAGAAAGGATGGATGGGAGCTCCAGCACCCCTGTCAAAGGCGTAGTAGAAAGAAGCCACTCCCGCGCACCAGAAGCGCTGATGAGCGACATACGAGGAATGGAGATGCCCACCGTGGAGGAGGAAATGGAGATGGAAGACCGCGTAAAGAGTCAAGGGCAGCAGATATCAAGTATGCAAGAGAGCTTGAGTCAAATTTTGGCCATGCTCAAAGAAAAGGAAAGTGAGACGCTAGGAAGTTCAGGAAAGCGGGCGATAAAGGGAAAGGGAAAAGAGGGCGGTCCCGACAGCCCTGCTTAGACAAAAGGCGGGGAGTCCGACAAAGAAGAAGGAACGGAGGATCTCAGCTTGGGATTTTTGGAGGAACAACTCAAGCCCTCGTATGGAAGGACGAAAGGTCCCAACATTCTCCAAAACCCTCTGGCCAGAAGCTTGTTTAAAACCCAAGTTCCGCCGAACTTCTCATCACTCGGGCTGCCCACGTATAATGGAAGCTCAGATCCCACTGACCATTTGAGCGCCTTCATGTTGACGATGCAGCTCATCAACGCCACAGACGCCGATCTGTGCAAGGCGTTCCCAGTCACGTTCAGCGACCACTGCCGAACTTGGTACACCTCTCTGCCAGAGGGGATAATCGAAAACTTTGAGCAATTCGCAACCCTCTTCTCCTCAAAGTTCGCATCCCAGAGAAGACGAAAGCTGACGGTGTCATCGCTCATCAATTGTAAGCAAGGGGGAGAGGAATCGCTGACAGACTTCTACGATAGGTGGAACACAATAGCCTGCGAGGTGCAAGGGATCTCACCAAGTGTGGCAGCGGGAAACCTACGCATGTCAACGCATAGTTGCGAACTTCGAAGGGCGCTCATCAAAAAGGAACACACCCTGAAGGAGTGGCTCGACCTGGACCGCCTGGTAAGGAAGGCAATCCTGCTGGAGGAGGCCATGGTAATTGAAGACGCTGCCAAGCGCATCAACCCAAGGGAGAGGACAGACAAAAAGAAGGGAGGATCGCCAAAAAGGAGGGGACGCTATAAAGGGAAGCTATAAGTCGCAGTTCACACACCGAGACAACAGGAGGGAGGACAGCAGGAGGGAGGTTTTTACCACCAGCCAAGAGGAGAGAAGGGACCGGAAAGGTGACAGCGATGCGAATCAGACGCATAGAAGGGAGGAAGATAGAAAGTGGTGCGACTGGCACCAAATGACACCACGGAGTGTCGGGAATTCAAAGCCAGCTTAAAATACCTAGCGCCTGGGGACCTCAAGGGATCTCACCAAGTACGTGTTCCTTGCAATTGCCTGCTCAGTATGCTTTGAATTGACAGTCTCTGTAGTGATTTGCAACCTAGGGAGGTAGTGTAGCACTATGGAGGATGTTGATGCATTTAAGAAGTCTCATTTCTTCTTCATATTGTGTTGGTTGATTGAGTGAATTAGTGATCTTAGGACCCTTGAATGGTGTGGTATTGTGGACTCTCTGCCTGTCATGGACTCTTGTATCATGTTCTGAATGTAACAGGTGCTCGAAATGTGCTTTAAAATAACGTCTCCCGTGCGAATAGGGCGAAAGTGTGTAAGGGGAGATGGGAATCCGTTCCTAATTTCCACCTACTACCTCCAGCCCCCTTACATGTCTTTCCCCCGCACGAGGCTCGAGACACCCGCTCCTGGCATGGCCGGTAAGAGCCGGGCTCCCGCAAAACCTTTGCTAGGTGGGAGCCCTCGTTTTCTGCAGAAACAGGTTGGAACCCGTGGAAAAAAAATAGAAAAACAGAAAAACAAGCAAAAAGAAGAAAGAAAAGGGTTCCAACCATGTTCACAAGAAAATCGAGCACCTTGAATTAATGTGAGTCCATGATCTTTTGTTGTGAGAGTCTCTTCATCCACGATTCATTTGTCCTCTGTTCACTATTTGCCATGATGCCGATTCGAGACTAGCGTTCTCGCCGAAGGGGCTATGAGATGACTTGTGCGTCGGTTGACCTCGTAAGCTGCTAAATGATCTAGGACGTCCGCTACCTACGATCGAGGTTGTTTGTTGCTATAGAGGTCTGGAGAGTTGCATTGGTTTGAGTTGGGTTTGCTTGGGGACAAGCAAACGGTTAAGTGTGGGGGAGTTTGATAGATCGATAATTATACATGTTTACACCCCTATTTTGAAGCCGTTTGTGATGAGGAATCTCGTGTTTTAAGCCGATTTCACGCTAGGTTGTGTGTTTATGTCATATTTCAGGTCCTGGCGTTGGAATCGAGGCGAAGGAACGAGTTCCGGGTCGAAAGGAGCGAAGATGGGATAAAGGATGCTGCTGGACCAAAATACCCGGTGGTCAAAGGAAGAAATACCCGGCCGGGTATATTCTGGCCTCGACCGGGTATTTTTCCCTTCGGGCACCCGTGGCCGTGAGAAACAGAAGGGGGCCCGGGCGATGGCCTTAAATCCCCGGTCGGGGATTTTGATGTTGGACCGGGGATTTTCCCAAAAGTGGAACGGCGCGTTTTATGAAATACCCGGTCGAACCATGATAAAAGAGAAAGAAGGCCAATTTTCAAAGGGTTCCGAGTTTTTGAGAGAGAAATCGATTCCTAGAGAGAGAAAACGACGAACCAGAGTTCCCAAGCGCCATAGATCGATCTTCAACACCATTGGAGCCCGGCTTGAGCTTGGAGAAGTGCGATTAAACGTCCAGGAGCAGAAATCCAACTTCACAGTATGATTTCCGCGTCTGAATCTGCTTTTGCTTCTTTCTCTATGGAGTAGTTTCCCCATTCATCTGGGTATGGGGAACCCTAGATTTGTATGCTAGGTCTGATTGTATGAACCCAAGTACAGAGTTTGTGAATTGATTATATTCGATTGAGGTTTGAATGATTAAATGACTTGAATCCTGATCAAATTCCTGTTGTTTCTGCTTTGACCTAGAATGAGAATATCTGCCTAGGTTGATAGAGTACCCTTAATCGAAGGTGGCGAATTGGTGACTTTAGTCGAGGAGCCAATTCGCTATTCTGTACCGAAGTTAATTCGGTAGTGGAGGTTTGGTTCATTAGGGCCTCAATCTGTTTACTCCGGTGAAGGTTAGTCGCCCGCTGGAGACTCAGATTGAGAGGGTCTGGAAACCTTTAGTCGAGACTTCAGGCTAATTGAGAACCTTCCGCAGTATAACTTTCATGAAAACTGAACTTGGTAAATTGCAATCCGACTTAACTGCAGTCTAGGGGGAACCATATCCGGGTGACCTCTCTTGACTTGACAACAACCGTTTACTTGCTTTGTGTTTTGTTTGCTTGAGTTGCACTAAAAGACCACAGCGTCAGGAACAAAGGCACCACAAGGAAAGATCGCCGAGCCCGAGAAAGAGATCGCGCACGCCCAAGCGCAAGAGGTCGAGATCACCAAGAAGAGATCAGTCCCCCAGGCGGGACCGTCTACCACCGCCGCCAAGAAGATCACCTCCCCACCGACAACAGCGTGTCAACGAAGACGACGTTGAGGTCATAACCATCGCGGGCGGGCACAAGAGGCCCAGGAACGAGGGTGAGCGCCTGGTTCAATGCTTAAATGTCCACAAAAGCGAGCAAGTGGACATCAGCTTCTCGCCTTCTGAGCTGGCCCCCGATGAGAGTGCTAAAGATCCACTGGTCATTTCCTTGAGAACGAGGAAGTTCAAAGTCACCAGGGCATTGGTCGACAATGGCAGCTCAGCGGATATTCTGTTCTACTCGACCCTCAAGAGTATGAAGATGAGCGTCCAGGATCTCAAACCCTCTACTATAAGCCTAGTAGGATTCTCGGGATCAAAGATCAGAGTGCTGGGTTTAGTCACGCTACAGGTGACAATTGGAGAAGCAGATATAACAAAGACACGGTCGATGGACTTTCACGTGGCGGACTGTCCGTCGGCGTATAATGTGATCTTGGGACGCGGTTTCCTATCGTTATTTTCTGCGGTCCCTTCCACTTGCCACCAGATGCTTAAATTTCCAGTAGGCGGAAGAGTAGGGCGAGTTAGAGGAAACACCGAACAAGCAAAAGAATGTTACCAAGTGACCATAGAAAGCTTGGAGGTGGACCTGGTAGACACTCGAGGGGGGCATCCCCGCCCGGAGGCTGTAGAAGGAGACGCAGAGGTAATACTTGACAGCGAGGAGCCAAAAAAGAAGGAGAGAATCTCTTCTCACCTCACGGAGGAGAAAGCCAGAGAACTCTTGGCGCTCCTCAAGGAGTACAAAGACCTATTCGCATGGACTTCCGAAGACATACCGGGCGTTTCAAGAGAGCTAGCTGAACATCATCTGTCAGTGAAAAGCAAGGCGAAGCCTGTTCAGAAACGAAGGAGGAACGCGTCCCTTGAGAAGCAAATGGCACTCGAGGAGGAAGTAAGGCGGTTGCTCAAAGCCGGTTTCATAAGAGAGGTCAAGTACCCGACTTGGCTTTCAAATCCAGTCTTTGTTCGCAAGGCCTCAGGGCTTTGGCGAATGTGCATAGATTTCACAAATCTGAACGCGTCCTGCCCAA